TTTGTTATTATAAAGCGCTATAAAGCGCGGGCCGATATATCGGCTCTTGCTGCGCTGGCAAGAAGTGCCAGAGCACTAAAAGGGTTAAAAGAATTTGAGGATATTGTTAACATTACTCTCAACTTGTTACAATTATTAAAGGAAGAAAGACATTTTCAACCAATTTATGTTTCTTAGAATTAACTAAAACAATTTTTATTTTGCATATAGATCCGCAATCTACGTATTACTTATTATACTAGAAGTATTGAAACAATCATAGTTTCGTTTCTTTCAGGTTTAAGATCCTACGGGAAAGTGGTCTACGTGTTTACACTAATACCCGTGTTCGGTATTCTGGTATTGGGCATGAAATTGCTCCGTTTAACGCCACCGGGTTCGATATACGAGATGTTCCCTACCACTGTCGGGGCCGAGTTCTTCATCAATGGGAAATCGTGGGTGGCAGCGTCCGTCGAGGTGTTCCTCACCTGGGGACTGCTCGGCGCGGCCGCTATGCAGGTAAGTTTCAGCTAATCAAAATCGCTCGAGCACAGACCTCAAAGTCTCCCTTATCCTCTCTGTCTTCTAGATAGCAGCTCACAATAAGCACAAACATCTTCTGCAACGGGACACGAACCTCGTTATAATGTTGACGATAATGGTCCTTCTTCTCGCGGCTTTGGTGGCGAACACTTGCGTACAGCTTCTCAAAGATCATGGTTACGTCTATATTCCGAGCTCGTTCGGTTAGTAGTAGCTGGAGTTTATGTGTGTGTGTGTTTTGTTCACAGTACCCTTGGTCGGTGCTAATCCGACCTAGTATTCGTGATACCCGCATACCAACGCTGTTGGATCTATTTCAGAGAGAATATCGTCGTACGTGTTCTTGAGGCCAGCGAATCAGCCAGCTCCGCCGGGATATAGCAGCACGCCGGAGAGATTCATGGCACATGCGTCATTTATCGTCGGCGAACGCGTCACCCGTCCCGGAGCGGATTTCAGCGAATCTGGTTATCAGGCTCTCAGACTCTCCACCGAGCTAGTCCCCGCGATGTTGGCATTGCTGGGAACCGAACAAGTTTCTCCGTTCTGGGCAGTCCTTTTTTACTTTGTGCTGATCCTCTTCGGGATAGCGCAACAGGTACAATTAGTAATCTTAACTAATCGCAAACGAACGTTCACCGCGATACTCTGAGAAGAGTAAAGAACATTGGATTTCTGATGTATTGCAGCTGGCGATATGGCACTGCGTGATAACCGGTATCATGGCTATCAACACGAAAATGATGAAACTTTGGGAAACCACTATCACCTTCTTCAGCTGCGCCTGCGGTTATATACTAGGCTTGCCGATGGCCACTGAGGTAAATACACAGGAAACTTTTACAGAAACTCGTGCTTTTCGAAGGTTGAGAACGACAGAGTAATTCCGCTTCCGGATCTGCGATCAGACAGTCGACAAGAATCAAGAACTTCGCCTGATAAACCAGCACGATTTCAAAGGAACTGTCGTCGCCGCTCGTTTATCGATGCAGCGTCGCCTCGGTTTCGTCGAAGATAACCGCGCGATAACCGCGATAACTACGATAACCGGTATCTGTAGCCACCGAGACTATTTGGTTCATCGGTAGAGAGGTATCAGTGTCGAGAAAGCGATCGCGTCCGTTCGGAGGATGAGTAATGAAATCGATTCCTTGGTACGTCGGAGCATACCATGTTACTTTTGCAACGAGTTCCTGGACCAGAGACATTTATTCGATCACGTGAAACATTGCGGATCGGTGCTGGAAGAATGTCCTTATCGGTGCGGCGTCTACGTGCCGAGAAAAGCCATGGAGGACCATCGAAGATCGTGCAACAAGAATGCTTCGAAGCGGCTCAGCCAGATCAAGGATGTCCAGGACACTTTGTGGAGGAACAAGGTGTTCTCTGCGTTAACGTTGCTTCGAGCCGCGATCCACAACGAGGAGAAGGAGCGCGACCATCTTCAGGAGAAATTGAATCAATGCGTGCATCTGTTGCACTCTCAGCAGGGCTCCCTCGACGCGATACGATTGGAGATCCACGAAACGCGACACGACGCGTCGTTGGAGGAACGCTTGAATCAGTTGGAGATTTGCTGCGACAACATGGAACAGCGCAACAACCACAGCTTCCAGCAGATCTCTCATCAGCTGAGATTGCTGCACGACGATCTGGCGCGCGAGCGTGGCGAGCAAGGCGAACGCGATCGTGTGCAGAACAACTGGAGCACAGAGTTGAACGATTTCAAAAGGTTTCTAACCCAAGAGAAGCTGGAGGTCAGCGAAGCCTGGCAGGGACAGCGTCAGTTGATCCACGACCTCAAGCTGGAACTGGAAATGCGATGTAAAAATTCAAACGATTTGACGGAACGACAGAAAGTCCTGACGGAGAAAATAAACGCGCTGGAGGAAGAATCGCGTGCGCAGAAGGCGACAACGGCGGAACATCAATGCGGCATCAAAGGGCTGAAGTTTCAGGCGAAGGAGAATCTCAAGTATCTCGAGGAACTGATCAAAGAGTATCAGAGCTCCAAGAAGTCCGAGCTGACCGATTGTCTGTGCTATCACGAGTCTTCCAAGCGATTTCCAACGAACGGTCGGCTATTGTGGAGGATCGACCGCTACAAAGAGAAGATGTCCGAGGCGAAAGAAAGCGGGAGCATTCTGTATAGTCCAAGATTTTCGAACAAAGAATACGGCTACAATCTGAGAATCGAGTTATATTTGAACGGTCTAGGCCAATGGAAGGACCGACACGTGATCGGTTGCCTTCGCGTGGAAGACGGTGAGTGGGATCCGCTCTTGGATTGGCCCTGCATTCTCCGAGCCGCTGTCACTTTGAGGAACCAAGAGAATCCGGCCAATGACGTTAAGAAGCTTGTAAAGGCCGTAGGTCGGGGTAAAACCGACCCGGAAACTGTCAATAGAGAATCCGGCATTTATATGTTCATTCCGCATACCACGCTGACTCGATACTCCGGATACGTCAAGGATAACGTGATGTTTCTCGATATCCAAGTGACCGATATAAGGACCAGCATATCTACACAGTCACTGATAGCATAAGTAGTCGGAAAATGATCGAATTGAATCATTGATCCGATCGTAGATGTAAATATTGTAAATTGTAAATACATTCTAAATATGTACTTCTAAATTTTGCAGATCTTTTTGCTGTTCTTTTTTTCTTTCATTCTGTTCCGTTCTGTTTATAGCTGGGCATCCACGTAGTATATTATTTGGATTACACGATCGGCGGTTCATGGTGGATAATGATCTTGTATCTGGTGCAAGTTGGCGCGGTGTTTGCAGTACGAGGTCGACCACATAGCGGTGAGGCGGTCGTTGCTGAATTGTTTCCACCGACCAGTCGGTGTCTCAAGCACTGGGCCGGGCCCCTCTTGTCTTTTACTTGGAACGTTGTGCTGCCTGTTATCTTTATGGTTTGTAAAAATTTCTATCAATGAACTCTATCGTGTCTATGCCAGGCATGAGCAATAGGCGCTCTCTGCTACGTATAGCGTTTAGCACAAGCGAAAGATCTTGTTATCTTTTTATAATAGAATATTGTAAATATTGTGAATATTGTGAATATACAGGGTGTTCCACAATTATTTTAACAGCCGAAAATGAGG